CTGCACCGTGGCAGGTCCCTGGTCAACGGACAAGGTGAGTGTAGGTTCCATCGGCGTCTGTGCACTCTTAGCGTCTCCCATGTAGAAGCGCTCGACGATCGTGTCCACATAGGCTTTCTGGGAGAGTGTCAAGGTATGTGCGCCACGGTCTCGCGTTACCTTTAGCCCTAACAGCCAGTTTAGCTCGCCCAGGTCTGTGATTTCGAAGAATTTACGGAGCTGGGACTTGAAGTGGGTGATGTGGGAGGCCCGGTTGGCAGTAACGGCCATGTCGTCCACTGAGACGGTGATGACAACGTGCTCGTCCGGTGCGCGTCTGTAGTAGACTGCCTGGTCCACCTTGGACCGGGCGAAACCTATCTTCGCAAAAACTCCTGCTAACTCCTCAGCCCACTCAAAACCGGCCTGCTTCAAACCAGGTAAGCTCCTTCGCAGCCGCAACACTTTTCCTCGCTGACTCTCCGTGAGGTAGCCGGGTGGCGCGCGCATGTAAATCTCCTCCTGGATACTCGCATAGAGGTACGCACTTTTTATGTCGACTTGGTGGATTTCCCAGTCGTTCTGAGCCGCCATCGTCAATACAGCGCGTATGGTGCTCATGTTGGCTGTGGGCGCGAACGTGTCGAAGTAGTCGACACCAAACTGCTGCTTCTGGCCGTTGGCAACGAGTCGTGCCCGCAGTTTGAGTTTTTCACCGTCGGGTCCACGTTTCGTGGCCAACACGAAATGGCAGGGGATGAGGTTAGCGCCGCGAGGTAAGTCTACTACTTCCCACGTCCCCAACTTCTCAAGCTGACTTATCTCGTAATCAACAGCTTCCTGCCACTCTACTCCATCTGGTCCGTTTAACGCCTGTTGCAAGGTGGGCTCTGGTTGGGCGACTGCCAAGGCAAGGTGAAGGTGAGTTTCTTCATCCAATAAATCTACCTCTGACGCTTCCAACAGGTTCTCCATCGCTATGGCCGCTGCATTGCTGCCTTCGTTCAGGCTAGCATAGTAGCCCGGAGGAGGTCTGGCCCTCGTCGTCCTTGGAGGAGTAGATGGTTGAGGTTGCTGCTCGGTAGATGGTTGAGGTTGCTGAGGAGTAGATGGTTGAGGTTGCTGGGCGGTAGATGGTTGAGGTTGCTGTTGCGTGGTAGTGGTGATGGGCTGGACGCTATGAGGTGAGTTATTATTACCGTTGCCGCTGTTATGTTCGTTAACAGCAGTAGGCTCCCCCTCGTCCAGTGCATCCACCAGGATCTCTGCCGGTGCAAAGGTGAGGTTCCTCTCCACCGATACACGGCGTTTCCCCGGCCAGTACACTCTATAACCCTTGCTTTCAGCGTCTACCCCCACAAAGATTGCCTCCTCTGCCTTCGGCTCCAACTTCCCAGCATCCAGCACGTGGACGAAGACTTTCGCCCCGAACTCATGGGCTCGCGACAAGTCCGGCTTGGACTTGCGTACGAGCTCGTATGGCGTAGTGCCGGGGGTCGACCTTGATGGTAAGCGGTTTTTCAACCAAGTTGCATAGTTGACCGCCTCTGCCCACAGGTACTTAGGGAGATCCCTCCCTATCAGCATGGCCCTAGCATGTTCAACGAGGGTCCGGTTCAGGCGTTCGGCCACGCCATTCTGCTGAGGTGAGTCGTGGACGGTTAACTGACGCTCGATACCCTGCTGACGGAGGTACAGGTCGAACTCGGCGCTGAGATATTCTCCCCCTCTGTCCGAACGGACCTTGCGCAGCTTAACTCCCGGCATCTGACGTGCCAACCAGGCTTCATAGGCCTTAAACGCTGTAAGTGCCTCGCTCTTCAATTTGAGGAACTGAACTTTAGTCTGCCGGCTGTAGTCGTCCGTGAACGTGACGTAGTACAGGCACCCGGCGATGCTTGCCGTTTGGGCAGGGCCCCATAGATCAGTGTGCACGAGCTCACCATAGGTAAGTGCGCGGCTCGTGCTTTCCTCTGGGAAGGGCTTCCTCGTTGACTTAGCTTGCACACAGGCTTCGCAAAATTCGGCTTTCGATGCGTCATCCAGTTCTAGGCCGGTGACTAGGCCCTTCCTGATTGCATCAGCGGCTGCAGTCTGGGACACGTGGCCCAGTACTTTGTGGGCGCTGCTGACGGTAAGCTTCCCTTTTGCGATGTTGGCATGATGCTGACGTTGTTGTCCTCCTGCGACACTATACAGGCCTTCAACCTGGGGGATCTCTGCAATGACCTTCCGGTCTGGCCCTTTCGACAGGAGCTTGCACATCCTGCCCTCGAACAGCACGGCTAGGCCAGCCGCTGCAATACGATTCGTGGAAATTAGCGTAAAGGCCATTTTCGGTGCGTAGAGTGCGTTTTTTAATGTGACCTTTGTGCGTTTCTCACCGAGCGGTAGCTCCAGGTGCACATCTCCACGGCCAATCGCACTCAAGCTCGAACCGTCGGCTGTGCAAACGTCTTGGGGAGGGATGCTCACGAAGTTCGTGAACTTCGCCCTATCAGGGCAAAAATGAGAGGTCGCGCCCGAATCTACGATTGCGCCTCGTTTCTCGACAGGTACGTTCAGCTCGCCTGCCACGCTCGCCAAATCTGACGTAACGAAGGCGTACTGGTCGTCGTGGGCTTCTGGCTGTGTGGCCGAGTTAGCAGCCTGCTTGGGTGCTTTCTCGGCCTTCCTTTTCTGCTGGTTAGGGCCTTGCCCTTCCTTACCACCCCCCGGACGCCAGCAGTCCGTTTTATAGTGGCCCTTCCTGTCGCAATTGAAACAGGTGACCTCCGGATTCGTTTTGGGGGTGCCGGCTGATGCTCTGCCCTTCCCCTTAGCTTCTCTAGCAGATAGGGCGGAGCCTGAAGCTCCCTTCTTGTTGGGACGGTGTTCGGTGAGTAGGCGATGCTCGTACTCTTCTGTGATGATGCTGATTAACTCGTAGGAGGTGAGGGGACTCTTAGTTATCCTAGCTGCTGCGCTGATGGATGATAGGAGGGGCCGGTACGACTCCGGGAGCGAGCCTAGAATAATGGCGTGGAAGTCGTTATCGACGATAGCCGCGCCCATTCCTGCCAGCGACTCGCGGAGCCTTATGAGCTCTGCAAAATGGCCCTTGATGTCGCCTCCTTCCTCACAGCGTGTCTCTTGCAACCGACGCCGTAAGTCTATTTGCACGAGTTCAGTCTTACCCTCGTGAATCTGACAAATCTCATTCCAGATCTCGGATGCCTCCCCAAGCTTCTGGACGCGCAGTAACAGCCGATCGGTGATCGTGCTGAATATCTGCTGCTTTACGAGTGAGTTTTTCTGGTGGTACTCGTCGATCTTCTTATCAAGCTCGTCTATTTCAGTCTGCGTCGGCGTCGAACCGTCAGGCTTCTTTACGGCCTTGGTGTTCGGATCGATGACGAAGGGAATAGGTTCGCAGACGCGTCCATCGGTATATCGCATCAAACCTCGGGCTCCAATAGCCGTTAGCGTTCGTTCTTTGTAAGTAATCCAATTTGAGCCGTCTTCTGCGAGCTTCGGGATATTGAACAGGCTGGAGTTTGTACCGGGGAGCGTAGGTTCCATGATGGAGGCAGGGCTCATAACCTAAAGGCGTTTATGACGAGCAAGAGGGTCACGAGGAGTCTAGAACGACAAAGACAAGATCTCAGTTGTCTCGAACGAAAACTCCTATAACGGTGCGTCTACCTAGAACGACAAAGACAAGCTATAACTAACATTAGACGCGTTGTAAACTCTAGGGACTTGTTGGCACGTACATCTCAGTTGTCTCGAACGAAAACTGAGATGCACCTGCGGTACTGCTGGTAATCTTATAGTAAGTTGGTCAGGTACTGGAACATATGAATGAGAGACTGAAAATAAACTAGGACGCGAGCCGACGTCATACATCGCTCGTCTTCGTCCGTTTTGGCGCGCACTCGAACCATTCTCCCCTTATCACTCGGATCCTTCGGACTCTCTCGACTCGGATCTCCCCCTGGCCTCGGATCTCTCGGTCTCGTACTCCAACACACCAGGTGTCAGGGATTAGACCGTCCTCTTGCCCGGTAACACTAAAAAAGTCAGACTATTTGATAGTGCCTGGCTTGAAGGGCGTCTGAAAATTCTATATCACAATCTGGTCACAGACTAGAACGAGGTTAGGTAAGATTCCCGCACTAACAGGCATTTGTGAACGGGGAGAAAGCCAGCGAGACGGGCTATATCATCAACTAGTCTTGAGACAGGTGAAAGAAGACTGTTGGGTGAATTTCGGAAATACATTCACGTACGAGATTCAATGAAGTGAGACTATCAGACTTGCTGATAAGCAACTTGAAGTAGCGCTGACAGCCTATGTTTAGGAAATTCAACGAGTGGCGTTGGGTCGCCTGTGTAATCTCAGGCTAGTGAAAATGAAAAGATAAATCCGTCCCTAAGGAGCAGCCTAACGGTCAAGACGTCAGAGGCACAGCCCTTGGTGTGGCATGCTCACCTAGCACCCGGATTTTCTCGTTTGGGCGTCATCGTAGTCTATGTTGGATTGACCGCGCTTGCCATGTACATTTGGGACAAAAACAGTAAACTCTACAAGTTCAACCCGTCCCCGCTCACCATATCAACACAGACGTTCATACCCAGCTTACCATTCCGGGTATAAGTGGAAATGTGAGTGGACTAGATCGGGGTGTCGATGTGCAGGGGTAGATTCTAGTCTTTGTCGATGTAGCGGTTGTCCAGGGACCATTGTCACTTGGGCTGCCTTGCTCGGAGTCGGAGCCTCAACTTCGTTCAAGATGAAAGACAGTGACTTGTGATCAGATCTGCCTGTATCTTCACGGCAAACGACGGCATCAGAGATCTCCGACATAGTGAGCGGCACCAACATCAGGAAAATCCCACTCTTACAATCTTCGCAAATTTTATCAAATTCTGACAAGGCATGGAAATCGTACATCGGCGAATCAACTTCTCGAGGATGGGATCACATTTCCGCGGATCCATTACAATTATTTTACAAGGCTATAATCACATCCAATCTCTTAGAATAATGTTACATAGGCATCTCTATCTGTAAACTCGTTAACGAAAAATGTCCTACACTGATCTAGCACATTGCTTGATGTCCATTCACGAGGAGCAACAGGTCCGAACTGCGGAATCAAATGTACCGAGCGTCGTATATTGCGGACTGGTATAACGCTAGCCTGTTTCTCACCATCGCGGAATGCCCGCGAAACCTTGTACATGCCATGATTGGCTTCGGGAGTGTTGGAGAAGGGAGTGAACCACTCCACATACGCAAAATGATCGCGAAAGACCGCCTGCTTCGCCTTCGCCGATAGTGAGAAAATGACCCGAATTTGCGCAACACGGTAGCCTGGTAGGTAAGGTACCAGTGTTAACAATTGAAACAATACAATTTAGCATGCGACTCACCTTCGACACCTAGTCTTCCACCATGCCCCATGTTCACTAGGGCTGTGTCAAATCTGGCAGGAACCTGGCATTTGTGGCGGTCACGTCTTTGAGGCCGCACATGAATCGAATCTACCGTGACTGTGTTCGGGATACCGTCGTCATGTACAGTGTTGTAGTGAACCTTGTGGAACACGGCTACTGCACGGAAGGGAATGATCATCCCACATGCAGCATCTTCTAGCTGCCTGACAGTCAACGCCGGTTGATTAACTTCGGCAATGAAACGTGCAAGCGCGGCTTGAAAGTACGGGGCGCCATATTCATTAGCAAGTGTGTCAAATGACACGCGTCTCGCAGACGGGTGCTTTGCGATCTTGTGTTGACGATGATACACAAGATCAGATGGTGCTGGAAAGTAAGGTAATGAGTGAATCGGCGAATTCGAACCAAAACGACGCCAGTGAATGAATTTGTCGTGCCATAACATCTTCTCTCGGCGCTCGAGCCAAAGCGTCATCTGCATATATTCATCCTTATGGTTCGTTGCGCGATATGCATCCTTCGCGAGGTCGATATGAAGCCGTTCAGTGTACTCCGTGTTGTAATTGTCAGTTGTTCCATATAGTTGAATCATGGTGATATAGTGTCGCAATGAGTGAAGTTTTGGAAGGTTGAATGAGGACCTAATTCCGAGGTCAATGAATATTGACTTGTTGTCGTGGAAATGATTCAGAGCGTCATCCAACAACTCTAGAGTTTGGTGTGAATGGCAAGGGTATTGAGTGAGATATAGAAAGTCTAGGAGTCCTCGAACGGCACGAATCAAGCGCGCTGGAGATGCACCGTTTGGAAGACGTATGTCGATGATAATGCCGAGAAGAAACCGACAGATTTGCTGGTGTTTGGTGCCACTTACTCGTGAAAGAACCGAAATGCCTTTCATGAAAAGGCGGATATTGTGATTGGGGGGCAAGCGCTTGCACCGGGCATCGAGCTCGGCCTCACTGAAAGCAGATTTGAGCCAAGCGATTAAATGCTTCACGAGTCCTTGATACAACTGGTGGAGAATGTCGGTGTAGGGATTCATTTCTGGTTGGGCTTGTAGAGACTGTTTTTACCTTACCTTATGTTGGCACTTTTGTAGCTTACATAATCAATCAATCTTTTCACCAGTTACCAGTATGAGTCTGAGTGCTCAGTAGTTTTCTATGATATTTCCTCTCCTCTGAGCCTTGAGCCTGGTCCAGAAACCCTTTAGGGTCGAATAGCAGCTAGGTTCTGCAAGACCCAACATATTGTTCAGACTCACCATCTGAATTGTTGTACCTTCATCGGGAGTGATGGCTTGGTATATATTACAATGGGGCAGTTCTTGCCAGAACGGACGATATATTGGTTTTATCCCTGATTGAATCCGTAAACCATCAGCCAATCTTGAAGGCGTGATCAATTGGAGAAAACTCACCTGCTTGACGACAAGCCTTTGTGAACTGACTGGGATCTCCATCAACCAAAGCCAGTGCATCTAGGATTTGGCCCAAATCACGCGGCTCGAACAGTAGGTCCTTGTTGCCAAGTTCATCAGCAGGGGTGTCACATTTTGGACATTCGCCAGTTTTGATTCCGGTCACTAGGACCTGCTCCGGGTAATCTCCGATGTAGTAAGATGGTCGTCGACGGATTTCCTTGGGTAAGTTTCCAATTGTCATGTAAATTGGGTAAGCTGCTTTATTTCGAAACATCGTGACCTGTGTCTTGTCTGACGACAGCAATATTGGTATGACGGTGGCACCAGGCTTGTCCTGCTCCAATTCATTCTATCGCCGCCGACATATCAATTTACAAGTCAGCGTTAAAACTGATTTGCACCTACCTGTACTCTCCACCACCACTTCCCGGTATGTAAGTCATGGAACAATCTCTGTGTCTTGTCCTCGTCTGAATAGTGTCGTTCAGGTGTGAATATGAGGTGCTGTGCAAAAGTTGGGTCTCCGTAGAGTGCCTTCACGCATTCAATGATGTCCCTATAGTACATGTCGAATGCTTCGCTGGCCACTAAGATCTCCTTTCGCTGGAAACGCGGGCGATGTGCGGGAATCTCAGTGTCTATGATCTTGTTCAACTCTCGAGAGTTCTTGTAGCTAAGGCCTAGATTCTCACACACCTGTGTTTTATAATTAGTGAGTCACCCATACTTATTGAGTAAATGCTTGCTCACGCCTTCAATCTCAAGCAGGTCCGAAAATGCTGTGGAACCTTGACCCCACAATTTTGCCCACCGCGCAACTTCATAGTCAATCTGTGACGTGAATGGTGCCCAGATGCATGATGGGTCCAACTGGCTGCGATGGGAGTCATATCCGTGGGGCTGGTCTGCCAATGCTGAGTCTGGGATGATGGCCCCAGCGCTACGAAGCGGGAATTTGACTATGTGAGGCTGGCGTTCGAGGAGTGGGATTTCTGCGCCATGTCGGTGAGCATGGTGCGTGGCCTTGTCTCCTCCTTCGTCTCCTAATAAGCCTTCTTCGTCCATAGGAACATAGTCATCAATGGCCCCGATGGCAGGTTCCCAATCTTTTTCCTGCTCAGCCACTCCTCCTTCAGCTTCAGCCTCTTCCTCTTCATCCAGCTCGGGGCCATCATCCTGCCTATCCTCTGCGACGTTGCCATTGTCACTGTGGTCGCAATCAGGCCCGTTCTCTGGTGCTTCTGGTGCTGAGTGAGTTTGAGGCCGGTAGTTCTCCATTTCCTTGTATATGGTGACGCATGCTGAATTTCGAGACTGTGCTAGGTGTCGAGGGTAGCCATACTCAGTGAAGTTAACTTGGCAGCCGTTGCATACAGGCATTGAATTAGTTTGAAATTGCAGTGCGTCCCGTGTCTCCTAAACTTGAAACTTTGTAGGGCGGTGCGTCCCGGGTCTCCTAAAACTTTGTAGGGCGGATCCTTCCGAGATCAATAATTCTTCCGAGATCAATAATTCTTCCGAGATCAATAACGATAACTGACTTGTTTTTTCTCTCACTTTCTTCGCTCCTCTGACTTGTCTTTTATCTAGTACAGATTGGCTCAAATGGCGCTGAAAAAAAACCACTCCACTCCTAATGAAAAGGCGGCAGCCATGCGGGCTGCAAAATTACAAAGCGCGAAAGAAACTGCAATGACTGCAACACAGGAAGAACATTCTAGTACGTGATTCAAATATCGACTTCTTGCTGACTTGAACCTCACTCTCTCGACACTCAGGGCCAGCGAGACAGGCAAAATCTACTGCCTACGACAACAAAGGTACTACGAGTTTTATTAAACCTACTGCTTGACTGATAGTGCCTTAGTTTGGATGACTGAAAAAAGCACACACAAGCGTCCATCAACCAATGTTGTTGAATCAGACCACATCAAACAGCCACGAGTTCAAGTTGGTGAGTCAATTTTGCTTCCCTCACTCAACGAGCTACTTTCTGAGCTCTCACACATCTTTTACATCACAGAGACCCTAGTAAAGACTGCTGCTCCGGTAAAGGGCAAGCCACAGAATGGTTCCCGCACCAGGACTATGGAACAACTATTTGACTCTGACTCTGACGTTAGAGAACCCAGTCTTGCAGATTCCGATGAGTTTAAATCACCAAAGGATGGTTCGGAGGACGATTCAATGTCGGAGGATGATCTACGTGATTCAGAGGATGATCTACAGGCCCTCAAAGGTGATTCCAAGAAACTCAAGGAAGTACTTGACTTTGAGGTATGTTACTGATTGCGGGGATCTATTTCCCATTGGATATCTACTGCTTACATAGCGCCCTCAGTTTTCTGGATCAACTCGATTGAGAAGCCACAGCACTTCATCGCACAAGTCCTTCACTACTAGTAGCACCATTCAGAGCAGTGATATCGAGGATAAATCATCGGACTTGCTGGAGTCTCCACGTCCAACAGCTGACATGAAGACTCACCGTTATCGTGAACGCGTGCCGAAGGAGTCCAGAAGGCTCAAAAAAACAAGTGTATTTCGTTTGTGATGCATGGCTACTAACAACTGATTGTACGCACCCAGAAATTTACTCAGAAAGCAAGCAACACGAAGCAACAGCAGAAACGGGAGCAGGAGGTTTGATCATCATTCTCTCTTTGTAGATTACCGTGATGCTGATGAGATGATATCATGCAGAAACCAGCTTGGCGAACCGAGAATGCAAGTGATATACCACCAGAAGATGTTTCTGCCATACCACATGCAAAATTGGCTCGAATGCGTGAAGAGGATTGGCCACCCAACAGCCAGATTGTGTACAGTAATTCGGGCAAGGTCAACCTCACAGAGCAGCAGTCCCACGTCCAGGATATGCTTCGAGCATCTATCACACGCCTTCACGAGTATCTCATTTTCGAGAACTCGTATCCTGACTTAGAACAACAACGAAAGCTCACTGGGGATATCTTACTAGCAGCAACTGACGAACGGCCAGAGTTTGATGCTGTGAAATCCCGATTGACAAAGGATGCAAAATATGTGTGAGCATTGGCACTGGTGGTACGTTCTTGTCTCATGACTATCCAAGGTTTCTCCACTAATGAATTGTTCCGTTCTCGTTATATTTTCAGCCTGAAGGACGGATCAGCTATCTCCGTCTCAATGTCCGAAAGGCTGCAGAAGCGCACGTTGCAAGCCATTATGGCTTGACCAAAGGCATGGATGAGAAAGTTGCGGAACTCCTGAAGAACAATGTTTTTATCTATCCGCTCAATTCCAAGGTGCAGTGGCAACAAATTCATAGTTTGATTGACTGACGAAGTTACCTTGCCCATTAAAACAGGGCGAACCTACTCGTAGCAAGCCATTTCAAGCGCCTGCAATTCTCAATACACTTGCAGATGGATTCTTTAGCGATGACACTGGCGCAGGGGTCAAATTCCACGATTCGCTAACATCAATTCTAGAAGATCATCCAGACGAGGTTGAGCTTCCAGTAGCCATGGTGGCTCTTGCGGGTGCTGCGGTAAGCCCTATCTTTTGTCATTGTGGGTGACCATACTCATGCTGCTGTTACAGGTATGCTCCGTCATCATGCGCTATTCATCCGAGAAATACAACAGAGACTTCAACTCTGACCTGTATGGTGGAATATACAAAACCTTGGTCAGCACGTTGAACAGTATCTTCAAGAACAGCGAGCGCAAGTTTCATGTACTCATGCATTCACTCTATATGACTGTCTAGTATGTGGTGTTTTGCAGCTCCAAGTCTGCTCATATCTGACTACAACTTCCCTGCAGTGGCTCGAAGCATAGTAAGGTGGATCCAGACACTGACGCAACACTTATGTTCCTCGACATTGATGCAATGGCGGAGGACTAACTAGTATACATTTGATATTTGAATTCTGTGATTTGTGTAGAGTGAATTTGAAAAAACGACGCTGAAATGTGCGCCATATTGAAGCAAATTGAAGCAAATTGGATAATATTGTCAAGGGACTTGAAAAATCTACCGTATTGTTCAATTGGTAAAATATGCACAGATCAGCGCACATTGTATCATATTATAGCTGATTGTTGAAGTGGAGTTTTCCTGATGAATTCCCTGACCAGCCTGAGGACCTTCGTGAACCTTGCAGCTTCCTTGCTGTAAATGTAGGAAATGCTCCAGGCTGGTATAGGCATAGTGACTATCTGTAACAATAACATGTAGAGTGGAATAGCTAGTAGCTATATTTGATGTATGGAGCTGAATACAATCTACAAACGCCAACAGTAGTCACTGAATGTGCAAAGAGACGGCGTGGTTATCACTGGAAAATCATCGAGTTCGTTCCTGAGAAGACCTAGATGAAAGGGCTTGCCACTTGCTGGCGGCATCCATCCAAAATATGTAGAATATGCTAAGACTTACCTCCCATCGCTCTATACGCTCTACGCTTTTAAAAACAGCAGCATGTGCTCGATTTCCCGTCCTTCCTCCAAATGGAGGTACAAAGCTCATTTTTTTCGGTCAGGACTGATCCTCTGGTTGGCCATAGCGAGGTCTGAGTAGGAAATAGGTGCGAGATGGTGTGTTTGAAGCCGTTCAGAGGCCTACAAAACTCGAAAATGATTTATGTAAATGAATTTTCAGCATCTTCACTATTTTTGAATTGCCACAAACACGTGAGTCAAGACCTTCGGAAATGAGTGTAAGTTCATCATGTAAGTATATCTGCACTGTAACCATATTATTTACCAAACCAACGTGCTAGTACTTAGCACTCAGTACTGTTGTGACTACACTATCTTCAAAAATCAACCGCGATGGCCGCAATTGGGGGTGGCCAATGTAGACTAGTTCGACGTCTCAACTCTCGACCAGCGTGGCGCCAAGTCATTACCCGTCCAGTGGCATGTAGGGGTTTCTCTTCAACTGCACCACCACATAGTACAGTCGGCGGGGTACGCGTTTCCAAACTTTTCACAGCGCTACTCGCGCTTGGGATCGGAGCGACTGGTCTTGGACTGTGAGTCTTGCCTTCGAACTTTTCATTCAACCATAATAATCTTCAAGTTACTCTTCAAAGATACGAGTTCTACACATCCTTTACCCTTTGGCCAGAGCAGGTTCGCGGAGACCTCCGCGCAGGAATAAAAGCGAGGAACCAAGGAGATTTATCGCTGAGCGAGAGATACATTACCCGGTCTGTATTGTGGTACTCCTTTATTTATGGAGTTCTGACCATTGATTTTAGCGCATTCCAAACAGCACTATCTCTTCCTTATCAGACATTCGCGCCATATCCGTATCTAAAGCTATCAGGCATAGCCTCCCTCCTTTCCGAAGTCGCCTCAGACCGTCACTCTCGAGAGGCCCTGCAGATTGCTTGGGAGCTAGGTGCCGGTCCGAGCGAACAACATTCTCCCTCCCCAGATGCCGAGAAGACGCCAAGTGCTGTGGTAGAAGGAGCACCTGGATGGTCATGCTACACCTTGTGCAAAGAGGAACGCCTTCGACGCGTAGCTCTTGCGTATAAATTGGGCCAAATGGCAAGTGAACGGGACCTGGATGAGGAGGAGAAATGGCTCATATGGGCTGTAGAGGAAGTTTTGAGGCTATCTGGACTTGGGATGACAAACGCCAACTCGGATGCGAACATAAAAGCGCAAGAAAATACAGGGTCTAGTGCACTAGAAGATCTCGAACTTCCATCTTGGATGTCAAAGACAGACCTTGGTGCTCCACTGGAGGCCCTTGGTGCCCTTTATGCAAAGAAAGGTGGAATCGAGTGAGTAGCACTCATCCAGTTAGCAATGTTGATCTCCTTCTCATGTTGACATCAGCCTTTCATTCAAGCTGACGCTCTGCCAACAGATATGCGATGCCACTGTACCTTCAGGCGATATCCTTACTCTTGCCACCCAAAGAAAATAACGTATCCGTTGAAGACCGATGTCGAGGTGAGCAAGAGCACTGCGGTTTCACTTTCTCTCATGCACAGACCACCAACAAGCCGCTCAACTCATGAATAATCTTTCTGAATTGATAATGCGCCGTACTCCCACACCAGAAGTACGTGCGCAAGCTGAGGCGTGGGCACGTCAAGCGTTGGGAATCATTGAGCGAGCACAAGCGCAGCCAAAAAGCTCACAATGGTTCGGATGGGGACAGCCCGCTGATGATGCAAGGGAGGTTTGTGAGCAGGCGCTCGGCGTGGTGCTCTTCAATTTGGGGAGCTTGAGAGAAGTAAATCTTTATTGAGTCATTTAAAATGCTTATTTATGATCCCTGCAGATGTCATCCGACTTGGATGGTGCAAAGAAGTTGTTCGAGAAGAGCGCCGAGCAATGTAGCAAGATGGGCATCAGGGAGGGCGTTGTTGAAGCCCAGGGAGCATTACGGAGGGTTGAGAAAATGAAGAAGGTGGGTTGATGTAAGTACCTGTGCTACGTTTCCATTAGGAAGAGGTTTGCATGGATATGGTCAGATCTTAGTAGACATTGCCACCAAATTTACACGCGCTGGAGCATAGGGGGTGATGAAGAAAGAATTTAACTGGGTCCGGACTAGCTTCGAAACGTTACCGCACCTTACACGCTCAAGCTCAACTCTTCTCGACTGAAGCATACTCCATAGCAATACTGGAAGGTCACTCACACCACAATGTTGTAATCGATCACACTACGCATACCCGGCAAGCAGTTTTGGATGCTGCGCAGCTAACCTTTCTAGGATCAGAATACTCAATACAGCCACGTTTGAGCCACGTCGTTAAATAAACCCATCTTAGTGTCGCGAACAAACACGAGATGACTTGGACGGACAAATCACAAAGATCAGGGCTCGCCGCTTTGCCCTTTCCTCAATGAAAGTCTTTATGGCTTGCATCCCCAAGCTGCAATTTTCAAGAAGCTCACTGGAATCTAGGGCGATGCTGCTCTGAAGTATAGAGTGAGTGTTTCGAATTTTAATCAAAGACAGAACACGATATTTGACCTTTCAACATCACTGGTGCACAAGCGCGCTGCTGGGTCAGAATCCGGGTAGAGCGAATCAACGAAAGCATTCGTGGGTTACTAACTTAAAGGAGATTGCGGATAGGCTGCCAAGGACCCGTTCCCTTATCGCAATAGCGGAGATCGCGGGCGCTACGCTGCGTGCGCTCTTCGTGCAGTGACATGACTACTAGTGCGTTTGGTAATTGATTACTCTATACCCAAGTCCGGGTTTTAAACTAATATTGCGCAGTCAACTTTCTGAGCTTTAAGTACAGTCACGTCGTCGAATCATCCTCCAGCTACTTGGGTCCTGGTGCCGACAAGGAACGCGACATGACGAATAGAGAGCCTCCAAAGATTGAGATTCAGCGCACTTTCCCTTCTCTTGACGGAAGCCTTTATAACTTGCGCCCTCAAGACGCTGCATTTCACAAGGATCTGACAGGAATCGAAGACGATGCAACTCTGAAGCAGCATATATTGGATGTTCAAGCAAAGGCATACAAGGTATCTAGACCCATGGACACGTCGTCCTGCCGTAGCGAAACTTAATTGTTCATGACTAGGTTGCTCCTTACGTGTGCATCTATCTTTTCTCTTTTACCAGGTATCTTGTTTGTATGTTTGTGCTGAGTAAACACACAAAAATCGAGCCCTTTAGACGCAGGATGTCGGGGCTACCTGCTTATCACCAAGTTGTGCGCATCGGACGTGAACACAAGAACCCAATTTTCCTTGACGTCGGCTGTTGCTGTATGTGCCCCCTCCATCTTCTACGTAGGATGCTAATCATGATATATGGTTTGTAGTTGGAAATGTCATCAGGGAAGTAATTCTTGATGGTTTTCCTGCAGCTCAAACGATTGGAACTGATCTCCATCAAGGTGAGCATAGCATATGACCTCGTACATAACTTTGAACGAAGTATTTCAGAACTCTGGGATCTGGGACATGAACTCTTCAAGTCGTCTCCAGAGACTTTTCCAGCTCACTTCGTGGGCGGGGACGCTTTTGACCCAGAAATCCTCGCTGTGGCTCCGCCTGCGTCGCTACAGACAACAGAAGTTTCAACTCCCGACCTCAATAACCTCACTTCGTTGAATTCGTTACGCGGATGTGTTTCCGCAATCCACGCAACAGCCTTCTTCCACCTGTTTAAAGAAGATCAACAACTGCACATGGCACGTGCTTTTGCTGGCCTTCTCTCCGCTGAACCAGGCTCCATCATTCTCGGAGCGCACGCGGGTGCTCAACAGAAGGGTGTCGTGAATCAAGTATATTGGGGTATCGAGGTTGACATGTTCGCCCACAGCGTCGAGAGCTGGACTTCTATGTGGGATGGGGAAGTATTCGAGAAAGGGACGGTCAAGGTGGATGCACACTTAAGGGAGGTATCCGAAGATATGGGAGGCGATGAACGTTATCCGGTGTTGCTCTGGTCTGTGACCAGACTGTGAGCATGTGTTTTTTACTTCCTCGCCATTGCTAGAGTCTAGACTAGGCTATTGAATACAATTCGGGTGTGATCTGATCAAGTGTCTCAAGTAGCATCCTTGAGAGAACAGCTTGACATTGACCACATTGTAACGAAGCCATAACCGGTGATGATCATGCAAGCATGTCTAGATCACTCGGGCGGAAAACTGTACAGAACTGTACTAGGCCACCAGGGAGTGGTATGCTTGTCTTGACGAAGATACCATGACGGAGGATCGTAGCGGTATTCAGCGCGCCAGTCTCCGACTCGTCCGACAAACGCCAGCAGGTTTGATGCCCGTGTACAGCCTTGGCCAGAGCTGTGATCCTGTAGCGAACACAACAACCGGTGGACCGTAGCGCTAACATTCTGTCAATTTTAGCCAGACTTACTAGATCGTAACGCCGGGTACGCGCCAA